AACTTAGCTATGTCTACTTTGGCTATGTCTAGCAATGCATCAGTAAACCATGATTTGTGGGTTGTTGATAGTGGAGCATCACAGTGCATTGCTAGAGATAGAAAAAGGTTTGTAAAAATGATCATGAGCAAGGAACATGTATTTTTGGCAAATGGATGGAAGGTGAGGGCATCTGGTGAAGGTAACACATATTGTTCATTCCTAAATGAGCAGTTACCAATGTTATGTGTACCTAACCTGAAATTCAACTTACTATCGGTTAGGGCTCTGGTTAACATTGGTTATGTGATAACCTTTAGGGGAGATATGTGTATTATTGAAAAGAAGAGTAACAGGGTTACTGCTACTTTAAAAAATGGTTTGTATGTTATACCAGATGGCCAGATGGCTAACACAGCTTATCATAATGTTAAACCCCTGATGAATGTATACATTTACTTCATAGACGCCTCCTCAATGGCCTGCAAAGTTACCTCCTCTGCAGGATTTTGCCTGGCCATGGCACTTCCTCTTCTTGACATTCTTCCCATGTCTACTGCTGTCTCAGACATTCTCATTTTGGTGCCATCTTACTGATATACTCCTGGATGCTCTGGATTTCATCCTAGTGGTTTTGACACTCACCAGACCCCTCCTGCACCCCTTTCTGGCTGGTGTCCATTCTTTGGGTGTTGGACTTGGGATGGAAGCCTCGATACATTGTGAGAAACTTCAGGATCTTAAAATCAGTAGGCTTCACGTCCTGCTTTTGGTCAGCTCAAGTTATTTTTATAGCCATTTGTCTAACTACCTTAGTGAGGAAAGATAAAATGATAATTCAGTATTTACTCTCTCTTCATGCTATTGTGCGCATTTGATATAAGCCATGACGCACTTTGCTGCAAGAGCATGCTTGAACTTAATTGGAGTTTTGTTTGGTCTGTTTGCTGCAGTTTTTGTTTTGCACTTCAAATGTGAAAAATTACTTTTCTGATCTTGGCTGTGTGTATGGCTCATGAATAATTTTTTGTTCTGTGCTATATACTGTGTACTATAAATAATGTAAGGTAATTTCATTCAAGATGTCAATGCTGACAGCCAGGCAGAGAGAGGTGTTTTTGGTGTGTTTCCAAAGTTTTTCTTTCCTTTTGCTAATTGATTCCTCTACACAAACAGAAAGAAACTGCTAATATTCTTCTTTTTTTTACTTGTTGGTAGAAACCAGCCATGGTAGAAGGAATGTAATCTGTATTTGAATCTTTACACATGTAAAGAGATAATCCATGTTCCTGACCATCTGCAAGATTAGGTGGACAACAAGCAAATCAGAAACTGAAGTTTTGTTTTAAAACATAGTTATAGGAAGCCTCTAGTAGACTAACTGTAATTAATTTTATATATTCTGCCATGGAAGAGGCAATTAATTGAACAGGTTGTGTCGTGTGCCAGATGAATGCAGTTTAAGTCTCCTCATAATCCTTTCAATTAAAATACAAATTATTGTATTTTATTTAAAAATAAATTATTATTTTTAGTTGAAAGAAAACTAAGGGGAAGTCTACCACATCTTTAATTAGTAGCCACATTATTTCATTTATTTGGAATGGTTGTAACTCACATGTGGAATTTTGTTTTGTCTCAAAGGTGCTGGTCCAGGATATGGACTTGAATTCCCAATCACATTATTCTGTTTTGTTTGAAAAAAAAATGTATTATGAAAAATACATATTATCCATTTTATGTATTTTGATTACTGTATTTATTTACATTGCTCCAGATGTTACTAACATAATAAGACGTTGGGAAATATTGTGGTTTAAAAACACACAAACTAAAGAAATCCAGTCATTGTCTTTTTTCTTATGGGAAAGGATTTGGAGCTTGTTGTTCCAGTTCCACAAGAGGCCAGGAGGTCTAATTGTTTACAGTTTTAAAATTGGGCAAAGAGTAAGGATTTGCATGTAGTGATTTCTCCTTGCATACTTCTACACTCTGTATTAGACTATTTTTTGCAAGTTCTTAAATTTACAGGTGAAGGGTTTCTGGTCATTAATTTCTATTCATAGTAATAGAACTAATTGTCTCTGGTAATGTAGGAATAATAATTTAAAATGGAATATTATTGAGGAGTATTTTGAGGAAACATTCTAAATAAAGAATTATTACATTGGACAGTATCAGAATTCCAATCTAATAATTTACCTGCATTAAAACAGTTTCATGAAGTCACTATGTTTTGTTTAGTGTTTTTAGTCTGAATTAAACTGAATTAAATTATTTTAGTCATGTGAACCTGCCCCTTAGCTATTCAATTAAAATAGAAACTGTTAGGTGTTTTGGTACTTTTATATATATCATGTTTATAGTTAAATGAGGAATGTGCCTGTTTTTGCTTCTGACTCCTCCCCAATTGCTATGGTGGTTCACATAAGGCACAGTGTCAAATTCGCTGCGTCATGTTGCCGTCACATGTTGTTTCGCAACGGTTTTCCCATTAGCGGAGCTGGGTTAGACATGGCCTGTGCGTGATGCATCCGGCCCGCGGGCCGCCAGTTTTGACACCCCTGACATAAGGTGTTCTCTATCATCCACACTCAGCAGGTACATCTTCCTGATCTCAGTTAACCAATGAATGTAGCTTTAAACCAAACTATTTCACAGCATGTCTACATTCTCTGTTTAATTTTTGACTATACATTTCATGTATCCTGAATTTAGGCTTTAAGTCAGTGCTGATTAGCTGGTAAGCCATATTAGTTGGGAAAGGAGTCAGCAGATATAGCTGGATATATTTTATGATTAACAAACAGAAAGATATGATGTGAGTTGATGTGATAACTGACATATACACTCTACTGAAACATTTGCATGTGAATATGAAAATTTAAGATTTCTGGGCTGGCTTAATATTGTCAGTAGAACTTCTCTAGAAAAAAGCATTTTAGTTTTGCCACTGATATAAAAGCAAGAACACTTGCTTTTATATCAGTGACAAAACTAAAATGCTTTTTGAAACAAAAAAGTTGTGCAAGTGTTTGAATATCCTATGATTTTTTCAGTGTTGTAATTTTTTAATCCTTTTTAAAAAGATCCTGGCTCTGCTGAACGTACAGCTCAAAAGCGGAAGTTTCCAAGTCCACCACACTCTTCTAATGGTCATTCCCCTGAAGATTCATCAACAAGCCCAATTAAAAAGAAAAAGAAACCTGGCTTATTGAACAGCAATAATAAAGAACAGGTAATAGAAGTCGTGGCTATGAAGCAATGTTGCATGTTGTAAATCAAATTGTGATAGTATCTAAATGCTCTAGTTTGTCTGATTATAGCAAATGTTCTTTGACAGTCATGTTTAAGAGGAAAATTAATGCTTGATTTCTAACTTTTTGTTCAACTAAGATTTTTTTTGGTAAAAATAAGTAAATTCTTGATGAAGCAACTTCTGATAGTAAACAATACATATATATTTATACACATACATGTACATACAGACAGACAGATGGAATAGATACACATACACAGATGGCCCATTTTTGGCTGGCAGAGTGCTACTGAAGGCCCGGGAGGCTGAAAACGGGCCAAACGGGATCCCATTTTTGGCCCGCAGAGTGCTTGCAGGAGGTCATGGAGACTGAAAACAGGTTGCTGCAGGAGGCGTTGGTCCCATCTCCTCCCTGCCCCCCCGCCAGCACCACGAAGAACTACAGTGCTGATGCTGCCCTCAAAACAATCCAGTTTGACACTGCTGGTCTAAGTGCTATTGCTGCTACTTATTCTGAATATCACTTGCTTTGATGCATTAAGAATAACATCCATTTTGGATAGTAGCTGCACACAGGGTCTTTTTTATCCCTCTGATTCCCATCATAAGTCAGTAAACCAAAAACAGTTTCAGTATTTAGCAGAAAGCCAGATTCAAAAAATAGTAAAGGAAGCACAAGGCTCCAACTTCTTTAAGAAGCCCAGATTATGATTTGTCTTTGTACCTGCTTTAATAATTATTTATTAAATGTTTATGCTACCCATCTCCCCTACTATCAAACTCAATTTCATTGAGGTCCAGATCAGCGTGGTGTTTGATATTGGGAAGTGGGGGGACAGCTGTACGTCAGGGGTGTCTGTGGTCGCTTGAGAGCTCTGCCAGCAAAAATGGGCTGTTTCCAGGGTGGCCCTGCAGGTCAGATCTAAGCACCCCGGGCCTTGAGTTTGACCCCCCATCTCTACCAAAAGCCTTTTCTGTGGGCATAATCTGGGCAGTTCTGCAACAGTATGATTTATGGCAAACATTGTGTAGAAGTAAAATCCAAAAATGTATAATGTAAAATCTGCTAACTATCATTTGAAGAAATAGGTTAATCTAAAGAATAATGTATATTTTGTTAATATCTGTAATGTTCTTACAGTGCTCTTGAGTTGCTATGTTTTATATTATAACAATCAGTGCATTCAATCAGTATATAGGTTTGTGTGTGTGCGTGCGTACGTACGTACATACATACATATATACATGCATACATACATAATGATTTAAAAAAATCAATACAGAAATGGTTTCAGACTGGAAGGCTCCTAGGGTAGAGCTGAAAGGCAGTATGCTCCCTCCCATATTTGGGGCATACCAGGTGCCTTGACAAAACATCTAATCTAAAGTGTGTGTGTGTGTGTGTGTGTGTGTGTGTATGTGTGTATGTGTGTGTGTTTATGTGTTATGTGGTATTGCTACTTACTAATTACTCAGCCAAATAGTTCCAGGCTAATCAGTCAACCTTGGAAAGAGTTCTGCATTATCCTAGTCTAAATTGTCAATTATTTAAGTTGAAATAAAATAGTAGAAAATGGAATTTTCAGAACAGTGCAATAGAATTTCCATAGTAATAACTGTATTGCATTGATAAAAGTTGATTTATAAAAATCAGGTTTATTTAGCAATGTTTCTGTGTACAGTACTATATTCACCGCTGATGGTTAATTATTAGAAGAGTTTGTGCTCTACCACTTCAATTGCTGTATTGCTGTATTCACAAGGTTGGTGAATGGGGAGTCATTTAACTCTTGATGAACTCCAGTTATCATACATCCTATCCCTATTGTCAATAGCAAGATATGAAGAGAAAACATGTTATACATAAATTATGTATACATTACTAATATAAATGTCACTTGAATATTGTAATTGATATATATTGTTCATGATTTAGCCATGATGCTTGCTAAAGCTTGCAAAAATGCTTATTTATTTGACTTTCGGGCTGTCTCAGTTGCCATAGAAATCCTAAGCAACAGACAGCAATGCAATAAAGGTTTGTGTACAATGTGTACAATTACCATGGCACAATCCAACCACAATAAAAATAAATTCATTAGAATTAAGCAGCAGTTAAAATTATATAAAAGGAACAAAATTAGTANGAAAAAAAATGTAAATTACAGTCTTGACCTTCGAAGGAAAAAGTTACTTCCACAATTATAAATTGTACATCACTAAAAGCAACACAAAGAAAGCTGGATCATGATACAGTCCTTATTGTTTTGTCTTCTCCCAAAGATGCTTCTTCAAGAGGCAACTGGACTTTCTGGTTTTTTTTCTTTGAAGACGTTGAAGATGTGTTGATGCAAGAATCTAAAGCAGTGGTTCTCAACCCGTGGGTCAGGACCCCTTTGGGGGTCGAACGACCCTTTCACAGGGGTCACCTAAGACCATAGGAAAACACATATTTTTGAAAAAATATGGAAAACATAAAATAATTTTATGGTTGGGAGTCACCACAACATGAGGAACTATATTAAAGGGTCGCGGCATTAGGAAGGTTGAGACCCACTGATCTAAAGTATGGGTATTGACTCCACTGTCTTCCTTTTTTTCTGTGTCATCAGGGTCACCTGTGTACTGATGACACAGATAAACTTCCAAGTGGCCTTAACAACTCACTAAAAGAATGCAAATGACCAGATGTCTGCAAGGAATATAAATCCTTCCTTTCCCCACCATCCAGTCAGAACTGAAGAAGCTTCTTGGATGACAAGTGAAATGTCTTCAAAGAAAAAAAAACAGTTGCTTCTTGAAAAAGCATCTTTGGGAGAATCATGACCTGGATAACTGAGAATATCCATAGACATGATGTGTCTTCTCTTTCATTTTTAAACTGTAATGAATATAATTATGTGAACATCAAAATCTCTCTATTCTTACAGCTTGGCTGAAGAAGAAATAAAAACAGAGCAGGACGTAGTGGAAGGGATGGATATCTCCACTCGATCCAAAGGTATGTAAAAACATTCTAAGCATAAATTTTTGCCTGGTACTAAGGATAAAAAACAGTTTTGTGCCTGCTTCTTACAACCATTCAGCTGATAATTCTTTTATTCCTTGAGGCTTTTCATGCCAATAAAAAACTATGAGTACTGCTTAACATCGATATATTTAGATACATTTTTCCTTTGCTTGTGTACATAATTGTCTAAATATGTAATTAACTTATTTTGTATTTTATTTTACTGAAATTTAATAAGGCAAATTTGAAGAGCCGTGGTTAGTGGTTAGAATGCAGTATTATAGTTAACACTGCCCATAGCCTGGAGTTCAATCCTGACCGACTCAAGGTTGACTTAGATCCATCCTTCTGAGGTCAGTTAAATGAGGACCCAGATTGTTGGGGACTACATGCTGACATTTATAAACTGCTCAGAGAGCACGGTAAAGCACTATGGAGTTGTATGTAAGTCTTAAGTGCTATTGCTATGTTTTTCAAAGTTTTATTTTGCCTTTCCTTATATTGATTTCCTGAAACACACTGTCCCTTAAACCACATTTGACTAGATCCATACCATTAACTGTTAGGAATATAATCTAACGATTGGGTTGGCAATATATAAATCATGTAACAATGCTTTACCTGTTTCTTTAAATCATGCTGTAAATGTGATTGGTTGCTGTTTCCTCAATNTCTTCATTAATATAATCTGCCCCTTTCTTCTTCTGATGCTGTTTTGTAGGAGAGGGGAGAAAGATGGGTTCTCCCTTGGTGTGGTAGAGCCCTTCCGAAAGCCCTGGCGTAGCTTTCTGAAAGTCCCGCCAAAACCCTGCCGCTGTGTTTGACATAGGGCGGCTTTTGCCCGCTTACCTCACCAGCCATAAACCTCACCGCACGTCACTGGTTTTAGTTATATTTTTCATTAATTATTGCTTTACAACTTTTTTGAGATCCAATAATTTCAACTCCTTACATGATACTATGTATGTTACCATACATTTGTAAAAAAAATCTATTTGTCAGTTTTATTTATCTTCAGATTGAATTTTTCATGGTTACAGAAAAGGTGCCTTCTCTTATTTTCATTAGATAGAAAATTGGCAGGATATAGAAGAGACTTTTAAAAAAAGATTCAAAAAAACAAGTTAGCCATGTTATAGGCATTAGCACTACTGATTTAATGCTTAAAGGTAATCAAGATTACTATTTGAATTGCACCCTGAAGCATTTGTAAGCCAATATGACTATTCATATGAGCAGATGATATGATCTCAATAACATGTTTCAGTTGACTGTCTGGCTGCTAGATTTTACATCAGCTGACATTTCTGGACACTCTTCAATGGCAATCCCTAGAGCATATAGAAAGGTAATTTAAGGATATCAGTTACAGTGTCCATATCTGATATATCTTTCAGTGAAGATAACTTCTGCATATCTCCAGAGGCTAATATAGTTATTTATTTTGAGATAAAACATAAAATAATAATAATGTTGAACAGATTTCCCAAGGTTCATTTTAAACTTAATCCAGTATAATTTTAGGTATTGGGATTATAGCAATTTAAACAATCATGTAATTTATTATTTATTACATGATTACATTGCGGTAAAAAGACTGGAAGTATGTAAGAGATGTTGGATACTGTTTCAATCTTGTTTCCTTACTTGAAAAACTGAATATGTCAAATCTCAAGTGTGATCTTTTTATTTTGCTGAAGATAATATGAGTGAGGAATCCTCTAAAGACTAATTAGAAGTTTCTTCTAATTGGAGTTGTGGGAACATTTTATTTTACTGCTGCTTGATCAATTGTTCTATCAACCTTTTATCAGTTTTCTTTTCTACACCACTGTTAGTTATTTTGCAGTGCATTTTTAGATGTTCTACTACCATATTTTGGAATGCCATATTATAAAAATAATAATAGTCTAAAGTAATATACATGAGGTTATTTTTGTTAGGATTCTATTTTATGTTATTATATTCT